ATTATTTTTTTCATTCTCATTCTTCTACTCATTTTCAATCACACATTCTTCAATAAAATAATATTTTCCATCACATCAATAACTTTTCCTTCATTTTTAACCACACATTCTCCATCAATCTACTATTCAATAATACATTATTTCAAAAGAATGTGTCTCAAACAGACTCTCAATACTACAATGCAAAATGCACATTAAACGTTTGACATTGTAGTTGACATTCCATTGTTTTCAAAGAGTGTGTTGGCAGGAAAGTGCATTTTTTTTTATTAAAACTATCCAATGTAATATCACCACGTGGCACAGTGTAAAGGTAAAAGGTAAAACTAAGTGCACATGTCGCATGATTCTTCTTAATAACATCATTGGAGAAAAACTAGAACCGTTGAGACGAAACAGCAAGAACTCAAACTGAGACATTCGGAAAATCTCCGAGGAAACAGAAGAAACTGCACAAACATTGAAACTGGATATTCATAGGTCAGGACAAAGTAGTCTCAATAGAATCCGAAGTTCATCATCTCAAGAATTGCTCTGTTAAGGAAGTACTTTCATTACAAGTATCTCCAATAACCACATCGGTCGTAGATCTGCCATTCAATTCGAACTAACATCGACCCCTCTTGTCGTCGGGAAATCCTTGGCTTCAATAATATCCTACAACGTGAAACTAACAGGTATGATTATCCAAAGAAGCACACCAAACAAAGTCAATTATTTTTCAACCGACAGCTCTTGCGAAGTCTACCCTCAGCCCTGACTTTCACAAGATTACAAGATGGAAGCAGTTAATAAAGCAAATGTAATATTTCAACAAGTATCATAGAAAAACTTAAAAGAAGAGGCTGTGAAAATGCCTTTTGTAACAGAACTGCTTCTTGTGGACAACACGGGAATTGCATCAGACCAATCCCAACCATTAACAAACCATAGCATCCGAGTGATACAATGGAGTAAAGAGGCAGCTGGCAGGAAGAAAACAAGTAGACACAAGCCTCAGTCAAGTGCGAAAATCGAGAATAGGATATACCCGTAGAAAATATACGGACAAGAAGTAAGAAGCTCACCAACCAAGTATAGCTCTCTGGAATTACCGATGTTAGCAACAGACTAATCCAGACAGCTGATAGAGCCACCAGCAATGTCATAATCTTCACAATATGTTTCATTGGATCTGCCACCAATGGAACCTTTTTTTACTTCAAAGTTCGTTTCTTAGGCACACAAAACATTATTAATATAAATTGAAAAATGGACATCTCAAAGAGAAATAATCAAAGGTTGGGTTTTTCAAGCTCAAGACAAATATCAACCGAAGAGAACAAGCCCACATCTCTGATGGAGAACTTAAGTGATGCAACTATCACACTACAAATAAAAATGTTAATGATTAACAAATAAAGATTTCTCCCAAGTCATTCAACTGTTCATACTCCTTTTTCAGATAAACCAAATCCATTTATTAATTAGGGTGTGTTTGAGTCCCATTAAAAGGTAAATAATGAATTTCGGAATAGTAGATTGATGGAAAATGTGTGATTAAAAAATAAGAAAAAGGTTTGGGTTTGCGTGTAATACTATTTTATTGAATAATGTGTGGTTGAAAAGAAAAGAGAGAAAAATGTATTTTTTTAAAAAAAGGGAATCAAATAAGGGCTTAATAAGTTAATCCATTACGTTGCCCCTAATATGACACAACAAAAGTTAACTTCCAAAAGAAGCATCTTTATGTAGAAAAACTCAAAACAAATCAGACTCCCACTATAAATTGTGAATCTGACCTCAGGCCCTGAGACCTGTTGAACAGCATAAGCCAACTACCATACAGAACAAAAGCGGACAAATAGAAGAAGGGCTGCAATTAGAGTACTAATGAAGTTAATGAACTCTTCCATTAAAACATCTCATGGTATTTAGTGTCTGAATACCTGACGGATAGATACAAAGATCAGGAAGGAAATCAAGTAAAAAAGTAGTATATTTTCAGTTAATGATTGAAAGAAAAGGATAAGCAGGGTAACTGCTTAATCTAATTTTAGACAAGGAAAAATAACATTGTCATCAGATAACATAACTCAAAGCCCTTTTGACGCATATCATCATCACAAGGCACAAGTTCACAGAAACACGAGCTCAAAACGTAATTACAGCAAAATAGTTCAACATGAAAAGTAATCAGTACCACGAACTTGGTACAATTAAAATAAAAGAAAGGGAAAACTTAAAAATCATCAAAAAGAAGAATGAAATAGAAAAAAAGTACTTCCATACATTTTAAAAGATATATTTTTTTTTTTGATAGGTACATTTTAAAAGATATTTAGCGGTAACATTTCAACTACAACACCAGAACATCATATAACACAACTTAAATTTACTCGAACATCTAATCTTGACTGTAAGTTTAGATCTAAGATGTATGCATGGCATAAATAGGACACAAGGAAAAAATTAGCACTGCATACGTTTAGAGCTTAAGATAAAAGAAAGAAAAAGATCTAATAATGGGAAAGGGGAAATAGAAGAAAACACAGTAAAACTTCCGCCATCAGATGGGATATATCATCAATCGATTTCACAGCCCCATTTTAAATTAAAAAATATAATGGAACTCAAAGCCCTTGCGCAATTTCCCAAACATCATATGGCGCAGCTTAAAATCACTAATGCATAGACTCTAAACACAAATTATGGCACAAAAAAGTGACAGATCAAAACAAATAAATAAATCATGAGAAAAAAAGCTCTTCACCTGGAAATTCATTTATGAGAACATGAAACTGCTTAAGGTTAGATGGGGGATTAAAAATATGTCTTTCAAAAGCAAAATTGTGCTATGAGGGTTATTACCGATAGGTAATGCCTTCTGTTATAGAGAGGAAAAATGGTTTTCAACAGAAATACAGAGAGGGAACCAGTTAAGTTCTTTAGCTAACTTGGACAAGCTATGTACAGTGCATTTAATCAATTTTAAGATAGAACAATAGAAAAATAACATGTTATTCAACAACAACAACAACAGCCCGGCGAAGGCATTATGCAACTACGGATGCACAAAATTTATACTTTCCCCGAGCTCTGGTCGATTGCACTGTCATCAGAAGATACTGATTACAGGGCACGGTTTTCAGATTTTCCAATCAAAATGTTGCGATCATAATATATAAATATACTACAGTAACATATAGCTAGCACAACGGGAAAGTGAGACGAGCAAGAAAGGAAAATAATTCCCCATCCAATTACGAACAGTAGTAATAAATAATTACATGAGATTATCATCACACACTAGTATTACCAAAGTTTTGCCATTTCTTGCGGGAAATTAAAGGGAGAAAGGGAAAAGATTGCCTTATATATTTTCATATCCTCAGATTTAAACGATCCTACTAAGAAATAAAAATACCAAAGAGATGAGTCAAATTTTCAATTTAAATCAGAACACAAATGGAAAATCAAATTATAACATTTTTTCTCTAGAATTTTACCCCAATATTATTAGTGGTGGCTAGTTTTTTTGCGTCTATCCAATCTGTCTTGAATCTGGATTCCTCAAATAGGATTCAACGAGAAGAAAAATATGGAATTTCAGCAATTAGACTGGGAAATGTTGTAACACTAGCAGCACAATAGGATTGTGAATGCTTACAAACGTAGATCTAGGGTTAGGGTTTTGAAGTAGTAAATCAGCTGACTTTTTAGAAAATAAGGACAATACGATATTATAATTTACAGTCCATAAGTCGCACCACAGTGCTTTTTCCAGGACAGAAACGCGACTTTAAGTGAAAAGGTAAGAATCCGGCTGTTCGGCCCGACCCGGACCTGTGCCCATAAATAAATAAACAAACCGATTTTCTTCTAGGAGACGTACTTGTCTTGAGTAAGA